AAAACCAAGTGCCAGCTCTGACCCTTCAACGTGCGGGTGAGGGACGATCTCAGAGCTGCAGGGTCCTTGGGGACCTTGTCTCCAGCAGGGATAACAGTGTCTGGGCGCTGTGCTCAGCTTGGAAGTGTGGATTTTTCCAATCCCTTGAACCTAAAGTTCCTCTCCTGGCTCCTGGCAGTTATTTCCCTCTTGTAGACATCTGTCAGAATCTGAGGTATTGATGATCCCGAGGTTGTAGAAAGTCTCTGTCTGTCAGCCCCGCTGCCAAAGCAGAAGCCAGAATTCATCTGTGCTGGTTTCCAGGTTGTTTATTCTGTTTCTCTCTCACATGTTCTGCTGCCCTGCCCAGCTCTGTCCTGCAGGGCAGCGTGTGGGGCTCTGCCCTCAGTGGGATGTGACAAACATTAAATACCAGAAACTCCCTGGGCTGGATTTACAAGAACGTGCCAATATCTGTCACCTACGTTGGACAGTGTGTCCCCAGCCTGAAGCAACAGAAAAATGCCAACACCACAGTGAGACATGGAGGGCATGAAGAAGGAGAAAAAGGACAAGGCACACCCAATTTCCTCCATCTTGTCCTGCTTTGGACTCTTAATCTAGAATCCTAAAATTTTCCTTTTGCACCCGTGCCACACTTAATTATTACTGATATCAAACACTCAGAGCTGGTAATTGATCCTGTAAGATTGAAAACTCTTTTCCATGAACAGAGATCACAGCCAGTGTCTCTGGGGCTCTGTCCATGGGTTCCTGACCCCTGCCAGGGTCCCAGGGCAGCCAGAGGGAAGCTCTGGATTTTCCGGGGGGAGGTGATCTCTGTCCCTGGTGCTCACGGCTTTGTGTCCCAGCTTTGTGTCCCAGCTTTGTGTCCCCTCTGCCAGTGACTCTTGATGGAAGAACACGGAGTGACCCAGGCAGAGCACATGGCGACCATCGAGGCCCACGCCGTGGCCCAGCAGGTGCAGCAGGTGCACGTGGCCACCTACACGGAGCACAGCATGCTGAGCGCCGACGAGGACTCGCCCTCCTCGCCCGAGGACACCTCCTACGACGACTCCGACATCCTCAACTCCACGGCCGCCGACGAGGTCACCGCTCACCTGGCGGCTGCAGGTAAAGCCGGGGGCTGCTCCATCATCATCATCACCACCACCACCACCGCCTCCTGGTGATGCTTGGAGTGGCTCTTGGAACCCTGGTGGCTGAGAATTTTAGGTTTTCTGGGCTAAAAAGACAGATGCTGACTCCCAAAAGAGCGCTCCCAAAAGGTCGTACAAAAAGCTCCCAAAATTGAATGATAGAACTGAGGTTATGAGTGTGTAGTTGTCTGGGTTGTCTGAAAAGACAGGTGTCTGCTAAGGAAGGCAGGAGGCTCCCCTTAAATGGAAAATGTAAACCCCCTCTCCATGTATTATTATAATTTTGAAATTAAGGGGTTCTCAGGCAAAGATATGGGAATAGGAATAACAGTTCTTTACTAGGATAATTAAAAATACAAATGCAATAGTACAAAACAACCCACTGCCAGAGTCAGGATTTTCAGGCCTGGGTGGTCTTCAGAAGACTCTGCTAGGACACTGCTGGGACCTCTGGATTTTACATTTCTTTCCCTATCTGGATTTTGCATTTCTTTCCCTGCTAGGACACTGCTGGGAACTCTGGATTTTACATTTCTTTCCCTGGTAGGACACTGCTGGGATCTCTGGATTTTACATTTCTTTCCCTGCTAGGATCTCTGCATTTTACATTTCTTTCCCTGCTAGGACACTGCTGGGAACTTTGGATTTTACATTTCTTTCTCTGCTAGGACACTGCTGGGATTTCTGGATTTTACATTTCTTCCCCTGGTAGAACACTGCTGAGAACTCTGGAATTTACATTTCTTTCCCTGCTAGGACACTGCTGAGAACTCTGGATTTTACATTTCTTTCCCTCCTAGGATCTCTGGATTTTACGTTTCTTTCCCTATCTGGATTTTACATTTCTTTCCCTGCTAGGACACTGCTGGGATCTCTGGATTTTACATTTCTTTCCCATTAGAACAGGTCCTCAATCCCTCAGGAAACCTTCAGACTCCTGATGCTGTAGTTGAGGTGTCCAAACAGGATTTGTGGAGCTTTGCCTGGTTTCCTCTTCCCAGCCACCAGGATCTCCTCAATTATTCAGTCTTGGGCGTTTTTCAGTATGTTTGGAAGATGAGATACAGAATTCTGTGAGTGTAGGGAAAACTTTAGGCTGAAATAGGTGACTCCCACCCAGGACTGAGCTGGGATTCACCAGCCTGGGGGATGAAGCTTCCACTGCAGGGCTGGAGAGCAGAGCTCAGGGAGGGATTTGTGTCGCTTGGCTCTGCTGGGGCCACCCTGGGCACCCATTCCTGGTTTGGGGGGCACGGTGGCGATGTCCCCGCTGAGCTGCTGGTGCTGACTGTCCCTCTGTGCTTTCATTTCCAGGCCCTGTGGGGATGGCAGCAGCTGCTGCCGTGGCAACGGGGAAGAAAAGGAAGCGACCTCACGTGTTTGAGTCCAACCCCTCCATCCGGAAGAGGCAGCAGACACGTTTGCTCAGGTGAGCACTCACCTGGCCCTGCCACCTCGGTGGCCTCCACCCAGCTCTGCTGGCCTGTGTGGTCATAGCAAGTCACCCAGCTCAGGGATTTTTTTGGGAGTGCCTTTCTGGAACCCGAGAGTTGTGTTTTAAAGGGTTGAAATTGCAGCTCTGCTCGTCTCTGATTTTATGCTCACCAGGGCTGACACTCTGGTGGATCCATTGTTCTGTTTTAACCCCAGCTGGTCACAGTTAAATCTGTCACAGTGACATTGCAAGATATCCAGAGTGGCTTTAGCAGAAATTGAAGCTCCATCCATATCCCAGCTCTGCAAAGGATTTTTCTGCCTCACAAAAAATTAAGTCTTTTCTGCTTGATCAAACCATTCTGGGGATAAATTCAGTGTGTGTATATCCAAATTTCCTTTGCCATTGGACAAATCCCACGGTTTAGAGCACAGTTTTAGGAAGAATAATCCAGTGGAGATTCCTGCCTGAGTTGAAACACTTTTTTTGGCTTTAGAAACTTTTTGTGGAGACACCATGTCAGTGTTCAGGAACACACATAATCATGGGATATGATTATCTGCAGGTGCTTTTATTATGAGCTCTGGGAATCAGGGGTCCAGACCCAAATCTGACTCCAACACGGCTTTCGAGCTGAACCTATTTTATATTCTACCCTTACATAACTCACATATTAATTATTAAGCTTATATTGTTCTATTGTATACATTGACATGAGTTTCTCGTGATCTTTCTTAGGCCCCTGACCACAGTTTCTCATGATTATTCTTATGATTAAACAGTAATTATATTTAATTACTAAACAATCATCACATCTAACAATTATATCATTAATCATGTACTGGCTACACAGGTATAGTTCTAGCAAGTACAAGTTCTTCATGTACTTAGGGTGTTTATTTTTCCAGGGTCTACTAAGCTTATTTTCCTTTTAACCCTAAATCCCCATGATTTTAAAACCCTTTTGCTATCATCCAGAGCTCCACAGCCCTCCAGGTGTTGCATTCCAGGTGCTCTGAGGCTGTTCACCCACCTGATGGCCCCCGAGCCACACCAGATCTGCACAGCCCTGGAGACTCCACCTGAAATTCCATGCTCTGCAGACATTTGTGAATATTGGCTGCTGCTGCTCCCTAGCTTTTGGAACAAAGCAATTCTTGCTTTTTATGCCGTTTGGGATCTTGTTGGACAGTTAGTGTTAAATTATTGGGCAGAGTTACTGCTAAATAATAATCCATGGGAGTGAACTCCCTGCCTTTTACAGCTCCATTCTTTTCCCTCCTTCCCCCGACTCAGCCCTGTTTATTTTAGTGTTTCTGTGTTTATTGCAGAGTTTCTGAAGAACAAATCCTTTTCTGCCTTGAAATATGAACAATGTATTTTTAAAGAAACTGCTCAGTGAAGGAATTATTTCTTCTCCTTTCACACAACTACTTTATTTTACTACGTTAAGATAATGACAAAACATCTTTTTATTTTCCACTCTGACCAGCTGAACACGCAGTTGTGCTTGATTTTCACTGGGAATCAAGTGGTAATTTCAAACACCTGACTGTGGGATCTGTGTGTAGCTGGTGGTGCTTTTTTGGCAACAGCAGGTTCTGAAATGACCAGAACAGGGACTGAGCTGTCACTTCATGGAGTGCTCAGGTTTTCTGAGGAACACACTACTTTTCTCTTGATTTTGGAGTTTCTGCCACCATTTATGACTCTCTTGCACTGCTTTAAAGGGAGTAAGAGGCAGAAAATATCCAGTGGAACATTTTAATTCCGGAGGGAGTTGCTGATGGGGCAGGTGTTGGGACACCTGGGTTTCCTGTGCTGAGCTGTTGCAATATTTCCAGTTCTTGCCTATCCTGTAGCTTGAATTCCTACAGATCTGGTTTGAGCAGGACTTTGGTGCTGGAGAATTGCACTGCCATGATCTGGATGTAAAACAACGTCTGTCTGCAGGCCTCTTTTGATGAATCATTCAGGTGCTTCAACAAAACACAAGTTTTGTGTTGCTAAAACAGAGTGGAAGTGCAGACTCTTGCTGCCCCAGCTTTGCTGCTCTGGTGATTTCTCTTTTGACATCAATGAGAAAAGGAGAGAGGGGAGAATAATTGACATTTGAGCTGCTGGGTGACTGCAGGGAGCACAGCAGGCCTGTGGATCTGAGGGATAAACTCAATATGTGGCCAAGCTGAGCAGCTGGAGCTCCGTTTCTCACCTGCTTTGTGAAAGGGAGCTGGCAGTCCGAGGGGTTGTGTTTCTGCAGGGCTTTCAGTGGTGCCCATTCCCTGTTTTTGCCCTGTTTCAGGAAGCTCCGGGCCACGCTGGATGAGTACACCACCAGAGTGGGCCAGCAGGCCATCGTCCTGTGCATCTCACCCTCCAAACCCAACCCTGTCTTCAAAGTGTTCGGTGCTGCACCCTTGGAGAACGTGGTAAGTGTCCCTAGGGAAGTGAGGAAAAAAATTCCTCACCTTCTCTGCAGATTTCCTTCTGCTCAGGGCAACCTTGGAAGCCTGGCAGGGATCTGAAGGTCATGTTAAAAACCCTGGAGAACAGAGTTTAGGTTTTATGGAGTACAGTGCTGGACCTGGTTGAGTCAGTGATTCCAGAGATCTTTTCCAGCCTTAATGTTCCCGTGACTCCCTGACATGAGGGCAGCACTGAGGTCCTCTCTTCTCTGCTAGAATGGCTGCCTGGCACTTCTCACCAGGGGAGAATATCCCAAATTAAAACTCAGAGGGAACAGGTCATGATCACAGAATCCCAGAATCCCTGAGGGTGGAAAAGACCTCCAGGATCATTGAGTCCAAGGTGTCAAAAACCCCACTTTGTCCCTAACCTGGAGATCTGAGTGCCACCTCCAGGAGTTGCTTGGACACCTCCAGGGATGGGGACTCCAAAGCTCCCTGGACAGCCCTTGACCACCCTTTCCATGGGGAAGTTCCTGCTGGTGTCCACCCTGAGGCCGTTCCCTCTGCTCCTGTCCCTGTTCCCTGGAGCACAGCCCGACCCCCCGGCTGTCCCCTCCTGGCAGGGACTTGTGCAGAGCCACAAGGTCCCCCTGAGCCTCCTTGGCTCCAGACTAAACCCTAAAAAATGACATGTTTAAGCTCAGCTCCGCTGTCAGTTCCTACACCTTGTTGCAGATCCTGCCCAGAAGAAGTCCTACCTTCAGAACTTTTCCTTTCATCCCACAAATTCTTCCCTTGCCAGTGTTACTTCAAGTTTCATCAGCAGCTCTTCGCTAGGGCCGAGTCTCGGGGGGCTGCTGGCTGTTTCCTGCCAGCTGTGCCACTGTTTGCTCCTCCTGCTCTGCAGCACCTTGGGGAAGGTGGCTGGGCCTGCATCCTGCTCCTCTCCTGGTGCTGCTCACCTTGGTTACCTGAGCCTAACAACTCCCCACAGGTACGCAAGTACAAGAGCACCATCCTGGAGGACCTGGAGTCGGCGCTGGCCGAGCACGCCCCGGCCCCTCAGGAGGTTAACTCGGAGCTGCCACCCCTCACCATCGATGGCATCCCCGTCTCCGTGGACAAGATGACCCAGGTGAGTGGACAAGGTGACCCAGGTGAGCAGCAGCCGTGGCAGGGGGATGTTTGGCACCTTGCAGTCACATCCTGTTGTTTTGTGTGGCTGCCTCTCCAGGGGCCGGCTCTGAGCTCTGATCTCTTTCCCCTGGGGCTGTAACAGCTCAGGTCGTGGTTGGATGTGGAGCTTTGTTAGTGGTGCTGATTTTCTCCAGGAAAAAAACTGCTGGGGAGAGCTCAGGTTGCTGGGAGATTCCATTTAAAGCTGGTTTTGGCACCTCCCAGGAAGTGGGAACAGGGAAAATATTCCATGTTTTGCTACAATCTTTAGGTGCCAAAATTGGGAAAGTCACTCATGGACAGCTTTCTGTGTCCTGTAGTTCATTCCCTCCTCTGCTTCTTGCTGTGGATTGGAGCAGAGGGGAGTTTGCCAGAGGTTCAACCCTAGATCAGACCCTGAGGGAGATATTTTTGTTGGAGCTTTGTTAGTGGTGCTGATATTCTCTGGGGAAAAAAAAAAAAAATTGGTGGTGAGGAGAGCTCAGGCTGCTGGGAGCATTCCCTTTGGAGCTGGTTTTGGCACCTCCCAGAAAGTGGGAACAGGGAAAATATTCCATGTTTTGCTACAATCTTTAGGTGCCAAAATTGGGAAAGTCACTCGTGGACAGCTTTCTGTGTCCTGTAGTTCATTCCTCCTCTCTGTTTCTTGCTGTGGATTGGAGCAGAGGGGAGTTTTAACCCCAGATCAGACCCTGAGTGGGATATTTTTTGTTGGAGACAGGGAATTGGGAGATTCCCTTTCTCTCCAGGTCCAGCCTGACCTCACTGCTGGGAGAAAGTTGAGAGGACTCCAGGAAAACTTCACCTGGAGGGAAATCTCCTTCCCAGGGAGAATTCAGGCAGGTGTGTCCTGCAGGAGCCTCTGGGTACACCCAGAGGTACACCACAAGTTTAAAGTGCTGAAAATCAATTTTTTTTTCTGAGCGAGTAGCAAGGTGGAAAGGGCAGCACAAAAGGAGGTGCAGGAGCAGGGCAAAGATGTGCAGAATTTCCTGTGCTCTGCCCTTCTCAAAACACCATTTCCATTTCTTAGTGCATTCAGACAAGCTCTCAGTCATAATAAAATTTTACTGTGCTTTGGCTGGTACAAATAATTTTCCCCATCCCTGACAAATAAGATAAAAATTTTTTTTTTGATTTTTAAACTCCAGTGAAAGGTGGCACCTGCAGGAGCAGCTCTTGGGCAGCTTTTGTTGTGTCCCAGGAGCAGTTCCCCATGGAAATGTTTTTCTCCTCCTTGTCCTGCAGGGCCTTTGCTCAGCCAGCCCAAAGTGCTGATGTAGAACCTGCAGGATTTCTTTCAAATCCTCTCCTGCTGCTTTATGGCAGAAAAACAAGGATCTTTTTAGGAAAGGCCCTCATCTTTCCAGCACAGTGAAGCAGAGCTTTGTGGAAAGGTTTCTCCTGAGCTGGGCACAGAGGTGACATAATTTATTGTGGGAATCTTGATTGCCAGAGCTTCCAGTATAATTATTTGTATTTTCTAGTAAAAACTCAGCTTGTTTTTTTTTTTTTTCTTTTTTTGCAAATAAGTTGCACAAAACCCTATGGAAAACTGGAACAAAAAGAAATATAAATGTAATTAGGATGGGGATGGCAGGGACTGGAAAAACGAGGCCTCTGCTTTCAGCAGGTGCCAGCAGGCAGGTGTAGAGGTGTCATCAGTGAGGAGGTGAAAATAATTCTCCTTTTAATTGCTCTGCTTCCCCAGTGGTCTGGAGGGAAATAAAGCCTTTATTTGCCTGGTCAAAGATGTTTCTCTAGCCTTGGGAATGGAGAGTATCACCCACCTGGGCTGGGCAGGAAAACCTGTGTTTTTCTATGCTTTCCTGTGCAGTGGGATTTTCAGCCTTCACAGAGGGGCATCTTGGTGCTTTCTGGACTTTGGTGACAGCTGAGTTTGCCCCTCAACTTGTTCTCAGCTGCTCATTGATGTGATTGAGGAGTAAAATTGGGTAATCTGAGCTTAACCAAGCTGTGCTTCAGTCAGCTCTCACTCTTTTATGAACAGGTGATTTGTCCTTTAATCTGAATTCTTTGAAGCCCCTGTGATTTATAAGTTGTTTGTAGGAGCCAGCAAAAGCTTTTCTGGCTCCTACAAGTCAGAAAAAAGTAAACTTGAAGAGGTTGTTCAAAGATCATCGTGGTGCCCATTCACCTTGTGAGAGCTGCATTCCTGCTCTCCCAGCTGCTCCCTGGCACACGGCAGCGGGAGAATCCTTGCTGGGTGTGAGAACCCCGGCCTTGCTCTGGGGTCTCATGTGGTGGTGAAATTCCTCCTCCCACCCGTGCTTCCAAAGAAAAACTCCGCAGGCTTTAGCTGTTCGGTCTCAAGGCAGTTTATCGCTAGTTATCTAACAGATTATGTTCTTGGACTGCAGCTGTTTGATCAGCGGCCTGGGCAGAGGCACACACACACCCTGACATCCTCTCTATCTGCTGTCTTCTTTGTCTCTCTCTCTGCCCAGGGCTGCTGCTATCTTTTATAAGATATATTACGTATAACATGTTTACAATTATTCCCCAATACCTACTACCTACGTTGCCAAGTGTTTTTCTACTCTAAATCAATCTCTGAGTGCCAACATCACCAAGAACATGGAGGTAAGGAAAAAGAAGGAGGAAGGACAGGATCAGCCCACTTTCCTCCATCTTAGAACTTCTGACCCCCATGTACAAAGTGAAAACCCCCCTGTACATGTGTTAAAACCCCGCTGTACAATACTAAAAAAATTTCCCCTCTACTTTGTAATTACTTATACTATACTATCTAACCTTTTGTGACTGCTTGTTCCACCTCCAAAGTTGGTAACTCATTCCATGGTTCAAACCCAAAATCACAGCTGTTTTTCAGCTGTCTGCCAGGGTCTAGAATGCTTCTGACCAAGGCCTGGAACCTCTAAAAATGTCTGAGGGACATTTTGAGTTCCCACAGCTGGGATCAGCTGCCATGCAGCTGGGCAATAGTCTGGATGGTTTTATGGTTTCCCAGCTCTGGGAAGTGCAGGAGGGATGGGTTCAGGGATGAGTGTTCACTTCCAGCTCTGGTTTTCCCTCTCCCACCTCCAGGTGCAGCCAAGGTCCTGCATGGACTTTGCTTTTCCCCGGAGATCCCAAGGCTGAGCTGTGGGGATGTGTAGAAAATTCCCAGCCACGGGTTTTGCTCTGCTCTAGAAATTGCTTTCCTTGTTGTTTCCAGCTCTGGAGAGCAGTTGGAATACAGCTGGCTGTGCTCTGGGCTGTTGCATTTGGGATTGGGATAGCTCGGTACCATTAATTTTTGAATTTAACATTAAAAGTGAAAACACTGAGCCTGTGTGAAAGGGTGGCAAAGAACCATTTCTCACAATTTCTCCCAAATCCTCCATCCTGGGGGTCACCTGCGCCCTTTCCAAGGGCACAGTCTGCAATGTGCCACTGGATTTTTTTTTTCAGCAGATGTTTGATTTTTGGGGGGTTTCTCTCAGCAGAACCTTGGCTCCTGCAGGTGAATGTTCCCACCTGTTACCTGTGGCTGAGCCCGGCCTAATTAGGGCACTAATTAGCCAAGTCCTCTCTCCTGACAGTGCTGCTGATTGTGTCCCCTTGGATTAAAGACAAGCCCTCCTTAACAAGTACCCTGATGGCTGGGCAGGGAGGCAGCTTTTAACTCTTTTTGCACCTTGTTGGAGTCCTAAATGCTGAAAATTTTAAACTTTCTGTGCAAACAAACTCTAATCCCCAACAGAAAATTACATTAAACCTAAAGCCATGAACCAAATTTATTGCTACCATTAAATTTACAATATGTAGTTAATTAAAAGTGTGTAATATCACAAAGTAAGAATCTTAAAATGCAATATATATCTGTTATTTAAAATATATAATATACATTATCTAATATATTATATATATAAAACAAAATAGAAATTTTAAACCAAAAACTAATCCTTCTTCTTTACCTTCTTCTTCATAAATTTAAATAGTATTTTATGGTTAAACAAAAAAAATCTACATTACAAAGTTCAAATAATTAATTATTAAGTTAAAAATAAAAATCATTTAAGTATAATTTCTTAAATGGTTAATAGTTTAAATAGTTAAATAGTTTAACCTTAAAAGCATTATACAAAAAAATAGTTAACCATTTTGTAATTTATTGATTGAATATTATAAATATAAATATATAAATATATATAATACATATTAATAATATATATAATAAAGAAATATATTATAAATATTATAAATATGCATATTTATAATATAAATAAAAGGTAATAAGCATCTAAACCTAAACACAAAATACCATCTCTAACACTTCAATCCCAACCTTAACAAAAACAAAAAACAAACAAACAAACAAAAAAACCCCACAAAACAAAAAAAAAACCTAAAAAAAACCCACCAAAAAAAACAACCCACAACAACTCAAAAAATCCCTGCTGCTACCAGGTTTATTTGAATAAATTATTGGGCAGAGTTACTGTTAATTACTAATCCTCGGGAGTGAACTCCCTGCCTTTTACAGCTCCGTTCTGGTTTTCCCTCCTTCCCCAGCTCTGCTCACTCAGCCCTGTTTATGGCAGAGTTGCTGAAGAACAAATCCTTTTCTCTCTTGGACTATGAACAATGTATTTTTAAAGAAACTGCTCAGTGGAAAGAATTGTTTCCTCTCCTTTCACCAGGCTTCACCCGGGGAACCTGGAGCATGTCAGGGTGAGTGGAAGTGGATTCACCTTCTGCAGTGGAAGGTGGAAAAGGCAGCTTGGAACGAGTTCATGGACATCATGGACAGCTTGGAGCCAATGGATGCAACATCCAGACCTTGTCCAGAGAGAGAAAAGGAGCTGGAGCACAGGGAGAAGGCTCTGGAGAATTCCTGAGGGAGCTGGGAAGGGGCTGAGCCTGGAGCCAAGGAGGCTCAGGGGGACCTTGTGGCTCTGCACAAGTCCCTGCCAGGAGGGGACAGCCGGGGGGTCGGGCTGTGCTCCAGGGAACAGGGACAGGAGCAGAGGGAACGGCCTCAGGCTGGGCCAGAGGGGATTTTAGGGAAAATTCCTTCATGGAAAGGGTTGTCAGGCCTTGGAAGGGGCTGCCCAAGGAGGTGGTGGACTCACCGTCCCTGAGGGTGTCCAAGGACTGGATGTGGCACTCGGTGCTCTGATCTGGGGAGGGGGCAAAGGTTGGACTCAATGATCTCAGAGGTCTTTTCCATCCTCTGTGATCCTGGGATTCTGTACTGGCATCCTCGTTTGTGTCCTGAGCTATTGAGGTCAGAGGAGACTTCGTGCCACCCTCAGAACTCTTCCCTGAAAGCTGGAACTTGACGTGGCAAAACCAAGTGCCAGCTCTGACCCTTCAACGTGCGGGTGAGGGACGATCTCAGAGCTGCAGGGTCCTTGGGGACCTTGTCTCCAGCAGGGATAAC